TTTTTTTTTTTACCATCTTAAGCTCATTTAGCTAATGAGCTGCTTTATTCTTCTGAAAAGAATCAGTGCTGAGGGTGAGGATGTGCCATGGCTCGATGCAAGCGTGGCTGGCAGCACCAGGGATGGTAACAAGAGGCCAGAAACCTTCCAAGGAGCAGGGAATGGGGGACAGCTGTGCTGTCAGAGCCAGCAGTCCCAATCCATCCCTTCCTAAACCCCCTGGCATGGGCTAGGAAATAACATCCCTGCCGCTTTTCCTTTCCCCAGCTGCAGTCAGGAGCATCCCACCCCAAGGAGCAATGCCATCGGTACCCAGGCGACGCCGGGGGCTGCCCCAGCCCCGTGCGTGAGAGCCGACGTGCTGGGCACCCTGTGCCCCAACCTGGACCCTGCGCCCCAACCTGGACCCTGCGTCCCACCCTGAGCTGAGCATCGGGACCCGGAGAGCAGGTGAGCAAAGCCACAGCCTTCAGCAACAGCCCTGCCCCCGGGGGCTTGAGCTTTCCAAATCCACCAGATTTAGGGGCTGGATGAGGAGTTCGCCTTTGGTTCCGAACACTGGGGCTCTGTTTGCAGAGGGCACCCGTCACTTTGAAATACGCCCGGCCCCACCGGCACGCCAAAGGGCTGCTCCCGGCCCCGCCATGGGGCCGCATCCGGCACCTCCGGGTGTATATTACAGTGACAGCTCTGGAAAGGGCTCAGGGCTGTAAATGAAATCCCTGTCTCAGGGAGCGAGCTCCACACTGAGGGACTCTGTGGTCTGGTCTTCATCAATAAATCTCCAACAATAAATCCTTTTGAGCCAGGCAGAGGAGCGGGGGCTGCGGCTTCACGCCTTGGCCAGTCCACGCTGGGTGAGAAGGGAGCAAAGCCGAACCCCTTGGAGCACCTGGGCTGTCTGCAGAGTTGCTCCGCTGCAGCAAAAGGCTGAATCCTGGGTACAGACATACGGGGGACGATGCTCGTGCAACATCTCTGCAACTGTGCGTGTGCACGGACCAGAGACCCAAGGTCCTCGCCAGGTTTGCTGCAGAGTGGCAGCCCCGTCTGCAGGCAGGGACGGATGCCGGCATCCCAGAAAGCACCAAAAATGGCAACAGCTTTTCCCCGCTGATCGGATCCCCAGCAGGTTGCAGATCCCCACTGACCTGGGGGCTCTGAGGAAAAGAAAATCAGGACTGAGCCCCAACCCTGGTGGCACCACAGCCACAGCTGTGCAAGGAAGGGAAAGCTGCTGCCCACACCCCAGCCCCAAATCCTGATCTGGCGGGCTCTGCCCACAGCGCTGAGTCACAGCGGCAGGGATCTGGTGTTGAGCACCTGGGCTGCCCCCGCGCCCTCCGCTTCCCACCACATCCAAGCCCAGCCCTGCCTCCCCGAACTGCAGGCTGGCACGAGCCCCAGCCGGGATGTCACCTTCCCGGGATGTCACCTTCCCAGGATGTCCCAGCTGGAGCCCTATGGCCCAAAATGCTGGGTGCTGTTCAGCCCTCCGAGACACCAGTCTTGGGGAGAGGGCAGCTCCGAGGTGGGCAGGGGCTGATCTGGCACCAGCGAGCATCGTAGGGAGCCCACGCGGCCGCCGCCGGCTCTGCTCCCAGTTGCAAGCCCTTCCCAGTTTACAGCACTGGGGAATGCAATGGGAATTAGTGCCTGAGCACTTCAAAGCCCTCCCAGACGGCACGCAGGGTTTTGGCCCCATGACGGCAGCGGTGGGTCTCTCAACCTCCCTTCAGCCCTGGGCAGGTGCTTTGCCCAGGGCAGAGCCGAATTTAGGACTCAGCGATCCCAGGAAGTGCTTCCCATTAACATCTTTTCATCAGGGGTTTGGGGTTTTTTGGAGTAGAACCGGGTATTATTTCACCTGGCTCGTTATTCAGCTATGGCTTTTGGGGCCGAGCAGCAGAGATCTGGTCCCAGTCCCATTTCACGGCAGCTGATCCCGAGCTGCGTGAGCCCTGACAAGCCACGCCGTGCCTTGCATGGCTTTTACTTGCTGGGAGAGATCACCCAGCCCTGGGAAAGGGTGGGTTATGCCCAGGGAAGTGGGAGCAATGATTTTTTTTTTTTTAATCGTTTCTCCAGTGAGATGTCTGCTTGTTTGCTCAAAAGGCAGCAAAGCTGTTTCGCTGATCCAAGCGTGGTAAGAGCACGCAAGCCAAGCTCCCTGCTTCTGCTCACCGGCGCGTGCCTCATTTCTTTTGAAAGTCAGACGCTTTAGGGGAAAGTTTCTTCTTCCAGCTCTGCATGCCCACATCTTGCATATGCAGGCGATCCGGCACACCTCTGCTCTGCATGCAGATAAAGGCACAGGCGGGCTGCCGGCAGGAGCCGGGCTGGGAGCGTGCCGGAGCCCAGCGGAAACCTCCCCGTTTCGCCGTGGGGCTGCAAAACCCAGGTTCCAGCCCGGCCTTTCACCTTCGAACAACAGAGGGGAGGTTTTCTCCCCGGTCATCTCTGCATGGCTGAAGGCTGAGTGCCCAGGTGCTTTGCAGGGAACGGGGTCACCGGCCATGGCTCAGTAACCCAGCGTGACTTTTGGGGAGAAGCTCCCATGTGGCGATGCTGAATGCCCTCATGTGGAAGTCCCTTTTCTCCCAGCGTGGTTTTGGTGGTCCTGGAGGACACCCCGGGGTGGGCAGGGCTTTGCTGACCTGCTCGGGGGGACAGGGAGGTTGCACACCCCTCCTGCCCAAACCCCGGGGGACCCTCCGCAGTGCTCTGCGGGGATGCTCAGACACACGCCCGTCCCCAGTGCCACCATGGTCCAGGAGGGACCTGGGCCCACACCTACTTCGGGGGATCTGAGACTTCCCAAGTCTTTGGCTGATGGAAAGGAAATTCAAGTTGATCCCAGCGTCAGCATCCCAGGGAGGAATGAGGTCATCACTGATGTATGAGCTTTCTCATCATCAAAGTTTCCGCTTTCCATCCCTGAGAGTAATTTCAAAATTTATGATCACTGGGATTAATTAGAGCAAAATTCTTAAAAAACAACCACTTTACTTTCAGGCTGTTTGTTTACCTCCTGCCTTTCCCAGCTTACTGAGCTGGGGGTGTTGTGGGCTGCTCTCCACCTCTCCTATTTTTGGGGGAGGTTTCAATGAAAAAACAAAAAAGTGAAGTTTTTTTAGAAAGCAGAGCACTTTATCTGTTCTCAGGGATTATAGAATGCTACTGCCAGCGCTAAGTGATGGCACTCAGCTTGATGGAGCATCAACAACCCCGTAACATCGTTGGGGAAACTGAGGCAGGGGCAGGCTGAGCAGAGACCTGAGCCCGGGGCAGGAGCTGGGGACGCTGCTCCTGGTACGGGGGGGCTGGGGACAGCCAGCACACCCCGGGGTGCCCCAGCTCCCATTCAGCCCCACGAGCGCTGTGCTGGCACCGGCTCTGCACCCACCAGGCTTCCTGCAGGGCTTGGCTCTGCGCATCACCTCTCCAGGTTTCCCTGTAAAATGGGGTGAATAACACTCAGATTGGTGTCTCCCAAGGGTTTGAAGAAGCTGCCGCCAGCAAGGCCACGTGGGGAGCCTGGGCGATGACAGCAGGGCAGCCGAGTGGTACATGTTGCCTCCGTAGAAGCTGTGCTTGGTGCCAGAGGGAGGAGGGATGCACGGGAGCATCTCAGGACCCAGTGGGAGATGGGTCCATCAGGCTCGAGCACCAAAGCTGCTCTGAGTTTTCCCTTCATCAGTCCCCAGCGATGTGGTCCCAACACGAGCCCTGCAATCCCTTCCTCAAGAAGATACCCTGCCCCACCTCATCCCAGAGAAATGTGATTTAAACAGCTCAAATTGTAGAGGAAAAGTCTGATTTTTTCAGCTGGGCTTTCAGTTCTCCCATTTTCTGAGCCATCGCTCTCTGCTTTGCCCATGCCCCCAGCCTGGGGATGAGGCAGGGTGGACAGGTCTGAAAATGCCTCCCTGGCTGAGCCTGCTGCTTTGTGCATGTCCATGGTTTAGCAAATTATTTCACTTTCTAGATTTGGGTTTTTTCCTGTTTCCAAGTCTTTGGACTTGGAACACCACATACACAAGACACTTCTTTTATTGGACTTTTAGTTTCTCTTTTAGGCTGAAACCAGAATAATTTGAAACGAAAGGACATCCTCGCGCTGGAAGCAGCCCAGTGTGCAGCACAGCCCTGAACATGACCACAGAGAGTTTTGCAGAGTTCCTGAATAAGCTCAAAGAAATCCATGAGAAAGAGGTCCAAGGTAAGGAGATATGAGAAGCCTTACTAAAACCTAGCGGAGGTCCATTTCTTTGTGATGCCACCTTGATCTGTTTGGTTTGAAATAACCCGAAGGGAGGAGAAGCGGGTGTGGATTAGGGAGCTTTGGGAATTAGGGCTCAGCAAGGATCACCCACGGGGATGGATGAGGATGCAGGGTCACAGCCTGGCCCTTGGGGGACCACACCATCTGACGGCACCTTGGTATGGTTTACCCAGTGGAGAACAAGGTTTACTGAGAAAATCAGTAACTTTTCAGACAATGAGAAGGAGAAGAAGAGAGAGGGTGTTCCTGCATCCAATATCCCTGGAAATATCCCGCCTGCGGGAATCCCACTTGCTCCAAGCATTAATCACGGGGGATTGGGCTCCTTTCCTGCTCCTGCTGCTATGGTCTGTGATAAAGGTGAATCGGGAGGTTTGCAGAAGTGACGCGCACACCCACTGGGCATCTTCTCCAAGCGGCGTGGATTGAGTGTATTTGGCTACTGAGGGATCAAAGGGAAAGGGGAAAGATGCAATAATCTGTAAGACTGAAGTAGCAGGAGTATGAGGCTCTGTTAAAGAAAACCTTAGAGTCAGGATAGATAGTATATTCCTCTAGGGAATAAATTGTTCCTTGGGTCATATATTATTAAAATAAGAACCATTAGGTTAAGCAACCAAATGCCAAATCCAATTGTTTTCCTATTAGAATAATTCCCAGTATCAATATTATGCACAAAACAACAGCACTTTTGGAGGATTCTGGCTTATGAATTCATTCTTCTCTTGTGTAATTTCAAGCCGTGTGAGAGTTAGAAGAAACTATTAAGCAATTTAAACCACATGTTTACATCTACTTTGCATAAAATGGATTTGACAAGATGTAACGTCTGCAGATCCATCAACAAAAGCCATTCTTGTTCAGCTGTAAATATCTTTCAAGATGCTTTGCAAGCCCTGAGAGTTATAAAATACTGCCCACCTGGGAAATGTGTGCTTTAATGAGAAATAAGTAGAAACAAAACTGAAAGAGACTTTTTGGCGGTGGGGGGGAAATGCAGACTCATGAAATAGTGGAAATACAAAATGTGCTCATATTTTGTGCAACTTTTGCTGCTCTATTAAACTGTGTGATGTTGTTTAACACAGGCAATGTGTTATTCCTTCTCGGAAATAAGGTTTGTAAATTGATGAGGTTTCTGCAAAGCCAGGCACCCTCCTGAGGTTCTATCATTGTACTTTGTTTCTGAAGTGCTGGGGAATTGGCAATAAATGCCCACCTCTCCGTCTCTGTTAATTATTCCAGGTCTGCAAAGCAAGCTGACGGAGCTGACGACGGAGAAGTGCCGGTGAGCAACACCATGTCTGCCCTACCCACACCACCGTGGGGCGGGGGCGGGGGAGAGGTTATGCCACTTCATTTTCAGACCTCCCGGGCACTCCTTCGAGGCTGCTTGATTTAGAGAGCATAGTTTGCCTTTCTGGCCCTGCCAAATTTAAAACTTTTGGTGACTTTCACCATGCAAGTCCCCAGCGCAGGCGGAGCTTGGGGTGATCCCAGCCCACCTCCAGTTTACCTTCCCACCAGCAAGTGATGCTCGTGCCGGCAGGCACTTGCTCTCTGGGGAAGCAATAAAACGGGATGAAGCAAGCTGCTGACTCCAAGGGCGGGTGTCGCAGGGCAGCGTCTGGGCTCTAACACATTTGTTTCCCCTCCTGCCACACAAGCAAAAGCAATTCAGCCATACCGATGGGAGCAGCACGGCGGGCTCAGGGCAGAAATCCTTCCCCTTGAAAGGGCGCTGCGGGTAAAGGCACAGATTTTGGGGAGAAATCTAATAAACCTATTTTCCTTGTTCTGTTTCTTCAATTAGTGATGCTCAGAGAATTGAAGAGTTGTTTGCTAAAAATCACCAATTAAGGGAACAACAGAAGGTCCTTAAAGAAAATGTAAGGGTGTTAGAAAACAGGTAAGATTTCTTTTTCAATAGGGTGCTGTTCGGTGGCAGCAAGTGCACCCTGCTAGGGGGAGAGTTTGGGGTTTGCTGTCTTCCCAGAAGTGGGATGTAGTACACAAACTTCTTTTTTGCTCATAGCTGGCTGCTGGGAGAGCTGGGGGAGCCCAGGCACATGCAGAGAACCTTTCCTAAGCTGATGGTGGTGGGACTGGATCTGGGGGGGTGGAAGGGCCAGGGCTGGGCTGCCCTGGTGATAACCCCTCTCACCAATTCTGGGTGATGGGCTGGGTGTTGATGCTTCTCCGTGGGGAGGGCAGGAGCTTATTTCCCCCTGGGGAACCGTGTGGTAACGAGCTGCTTGCCATGGGTTTTCCTCCAGGTTGCGAGCAGGTCTCTGCGACAGATGCATGGTCACCCAGGAGCTGGCAAAAAAGAAGCAGAATGAGTATGAGACCTCCCATTTCCAGAGCCTGCAGCACATCTTCATCCTCAGTATGTACCACTGCCCGCTGTAAGCTCGGCTTTGGCTGGCTGAGTCTTTGCTCAGTTAATGCCTCTCCAAGATACTTGCATGTGAGCCCTCCCGGTGACCGGGCACCCAGGAGGGGTTTGGGGATGGGGAGAAGGGAGGGAGCCAATGCGAGTGTGGGGGCCTTGAAAAATCAGATCTGATCAGGTCTGTGAATGGCAGCCCACGTCCCCCCCAAAGCAGAGGTAACTGCTCACACCAAGTGGCAGAGCTGGGGGGGCTGCAGCCCTCTGCACCTCCAGGAAAATGAGAGATGCTTGCACCGAGAGAAGCCCTGAGCTGGCCAGACTGTGTCAGCTGCCTGGAAAAAAGATGCATTTGGCACCGCAGAAGCAACACTCTGACAAAGACAGGAAAGTCATAGCAGCAGCTCAGCACGGGTAAATGGAAATCAAGCAACACGTGTGACGGATCTTCTCCAGAGCCTTTGGCAGAGCTCCCAGCACCACTCAGGCTCAGGGTGTTTTTCCCTGGGGATCGGGCTGGCCCAGGGAGGGTTGCAGGGTAAAGAAGATAAGGCATTAGGAGGGACGGAGAGGTGCCAGCAGCCCTTGGTTTATCTCCCCTGTTATGCCATTGCTCCCCAAGTGCTGCTTTTGAGCAGGAGCAAGCCGAGGCGGCAGCCTACCCTGCCCCGGAGCCTGCCTGCTCACGCTCCCTGCCTCCTCGCTGCGGTGCCGGGTGCTGGGTGCTCACAGCTCCCTCCGGCCTTCATCTGACCCCACTCGAGGCCCCCAGCCCTTCCCCTAACACAGCACCCGCCCATCAGAGGCAGCCATGCCGCTCGCGGGCAGGATGCTGACCATGTCCATCCCACCGTGCTGCAGCCACCACCCCGTCTGGGCTGCACGCTCCCCCCGAGCTGGATGGGCTGCAAGCAGACCCCAATCCTGACCCAACCCGAGTTGGAAAGTTGCTCCCTTTTATCCCTTAGCCCCCAGAGTGTTGTCAGAGAAGGAAGGAAATTTGGCATCCCTCCCAAACCTGGTGCCATTCCGTCCTCCTCCCCCGTGCACCCCAGCAAGATGTGAGGAGCATCAGCTCTCTCCTTGCAACGCCTGAATCCACGGCACAACTTGTGTCCCTGCAGCTAACGAGACGAACCGCCTGAGGGAAGAGAACAAAACTCTCAAGGAAGAACTGAAGAGGCTCCGGAGCCTGGAGTAAGTGCTCTCCTGGGTTTCATTCGTTACAAGGGATGTTGGTAAGGACAGAAGCATCCCCAAGGCCGAACAGAGCTATGTCCAGACTGCAGAGTCCTCAGGGGTATTTTAGCATCTAATTCCTATGGATTCCTGTAGATTTTAGACACCAAAACACCTGCAATGGTCTCTAAGTCCTTGTTGACCTTTGCTCACTCCCCTGTTCACCTGCACCCAAGGATTCAGTTTTTGGGGAACAGGGGTATGCAACAGCCCCCCATGGGGGACTGCTCATGGGAAGCAAAGGCCTGGGCTGCTCACCTTGGCCACGGACTTCAACCTGGGCTTCCACAGCTTTTCCATGGCACCAGCTCTCCTCCTGCAGCAGCCAGAGAGGGTCTGCAGGCAGCAGGTTGTGTTTTGGGGGAAGGAGAGTGCCACGCAAAGGACAGAGACGGGGTTAAGAGGGAGAAGCGATCCGCACCAACAGGTTCATATCCCAGCAGAGCGCTGTGCTGAAAGCCAAGTAACCTGCCAGGCTGGCTAATATATACAAATCAGTTCATTCCTCAAAGGCTTACAGTGCAGAGGAATTAGCACTGAGGGATTAGTTTAGAAATGTGTTTTCTTTGGAGTACAGAAGCACCATGCACTTAAAGAGGAACTCTCGCTTTTACTCCCCGATGCTTCCCAAGGCCTGAGGAGTTTCAGAGCTGTAGGTCGGGCTGGGTTTGCTGAGCACCAAGTGCTCCTGCTCTGCTCTGCTCTTTCCTGAGCTGCTGAATAGGAAGATTTCCAGCCAAACACCCATGTCTTGGCATCAGGGTCCAGCCAGGACTTTGTCCATGACATAAGCGTGTGTTTCCAAGACTCAATGACTCCCTCGTAGTGATCAAGAGCATCAGCCCTACCAGCTCGATACAGTGAAGGGGGACAGCAGCCACATGCCCGTGCTGAATGCACCCTTACATCAGGCTGAAAGGCCAGCCAGCGACGTACAGGTTCTCACAGAGCTTTTGCAATAGCCGCAGTTGGGTTTTGGCTTACCCAACGTCGTGGCTTCCTGCGACATTACCCACAGGCAAGTGGGGAAATCAGACCTTGAGCTGTTGTGCTGGCTCTGTCCCATGCTCCACACTGCAGCTGAGCTAGCGATAAGATGCAGTGGAAGGAGGTGAGTCTGAGGATCCAGTATAGCCACATACATATACGTATAAATATGTATATTTATGTATCAGGCTCTATAACTCAGAACTTGCAGTACAATGGCTCTCCAACTGGTGATTTCCTTCTCCTGCCCCTTCTCATTCATTCATGTCCTCCTTTCAACAGGGACAGGACAAAGACCCCAGGAGTCACCTCCAGAGAAAGCAGCTCCACCCCCAGCTCCCCCTTGGCTTTACTGTCCCCAGCGAGCAGGAACGCCGGCAGCGAGAAAGCAGCTCACAGGGGAGCAGAAGAAGCCCACCACGACCTGCCAGGCCTTGAGCTGGGAGAAGGTGGGTGCTGCTGGCTCCCACCACCCTCAAGGGACCTGGGGACGGGAAGAGTGACTGAGCCGTCGTGCAAAGCTGCTCTGGGAAAGGGTCTGGAGAGCAAAGACCAAGCTGTTGGCAGCTCAGGTGGGCATTGCCGTGGTCAGAATAGCTGCTCGGGGGGAAACTGCATGTCAAGGGAGAAATGCTGCTCTGCGTTAGAGCAAAAGAGTGTTTGGGTGCCCTCGCTGTCAGACGAGTGCTGTGCAGTTGTGGACCCGCCACCCATTTCATGCAGAAACCATGTCATTGCCTTGCTGCCACCCACACAGGCAATGTAGGGTACGTTCAAAATCCTCAGGAGGAGGTGGTTGGTGCCAGCCAGCGGCGTCCTGGGGAGGCTGCAAGACTCAGGCATGCAGCAGGGCAGGGCAGCCTGCAACAGCTCTGCGGGACCGTCACAGTGGCTGGTTGTGTCTTTTTTTGCAGAAAAGCCTGCAGGACAGAGAAGCTCTCCAAGCAGTAGGACTTCCCCAAGCACCGTCCTCCAAGAAGTCAGCCTCGCAGAAATTGTGAGTTGCTGGAGGTAGCCAGATGTCCTCAGGCCTTCTCCCCACCACTGTGGTCATCTGAACTGGATCAAGGGGGGTGGACTAGGATAGAGAATGAGTAGGAGGCACTTAGGGGGTAAAATAATTATCCGGACTTGGGCAGTTGGCCATTGCCAGAGCCAAGGAGGGCACCTACCAAATGCCACATACACAAAAGCATTGTTTGGCACAGGCTCCTGTCCCCACTGTGAGCGTGCACATCTTTCTTTGCTCCTGTGTTTGTCCTCCATGACAACATGTCTAGCATCCTTGAGTCCTCTGCCCATCACTCTGGTTCCTCTCTCAGATGTCTTGCTGGGGAAAGCTCTGAGGAGTGAAGGACATGTGCTGAGCCACATTTCAGTGTAGCTTATCCTGAGTTACAGAGTCAGCTCTTCATTATCTGGGCAAGCAAGAGGCTGGAGCATTGTGAGTGTTGGAAAAGCCTGGAGAACATGTAAACTGTGGGAGTTGTGGGTACTGAGAACAAATACACCACAGCAGCCCTGCCCAACAGCATCGCAGATGTCTCTCCATCTGCAGCATAATGAATATTGGTATTTTCAGAGGGCCTGGCATTCAGTGGTTGCTATTTTGTACATTGATGCAAGCCTGCCATGCCTTTAAAACACAGAGAGTATGTGTCAGCTGAGGGATGCTGAGTGATATGGTGATATTGGGCACTGGGAGATGAGACTGCAGGACCTGGAGCCCTGTTCCTGGTCGTGGGAACTCAAGCCCATATACACACCCACACAGATGCTTCTGTTCTGGCACAGGCTTCGCTTACCTGAACTCCACAGAAAACTTGAAAGAGCAGGTGAAAAGGGGTTTTGGTAAGGCTGCAGGCAGGCTGTGAGGATAATTAATAGGGATCACAGGAAGAGCTGGTGACATCTCCAGGTGGGCAGGGAAAAGTCAAGTCAGAACATGTGGTGAGCCTTTCATGACAGCAGATGGAGATGATGATGTCCTGGCCTCACAGCCAGGTACTCCACTGGAAATACACCCATCAAACCAGTGCACGCCAGCAGCTTGCATGAATAAAGTCTATTGGCCTGACTAGGGGTCGGGGAATTTGCAGGGTCTTATCTTGGTTAAGCCACTGAATCATGGCTTGGCTTGACTTGAGACACAAGACCTCCTGAGCTACAAATCAGTGCAGCCAGAAAATAAAGAGTACTGTAGATCCTGCTAGAAAACATGAAGGGGAAATTTCCTGGGAAAACCAATAAAAATATGGTTGAGTTGTTGACCAGAATTGTATCAAACAGAGCACTTAAGAGCTGTCTGTCTTGTTCACGCTGGTGAAGAGCTGCGTCTCTGCTCAGCGGGGCTCTCCTCAGCCACGCGCTGCCCAGGGTGCACAGCAGACCGGCTCACCTGGACTTTCTCCACTCTGCCGCAGGCATCCCAGAGGATCGCCAACCAGCTGCATGGAACCATTGCCCTGGTGAGACCCGGCTCCAGACCCTGCCTCCTGGAAAAAAGTCCTTCGGGGGTAGCAGTGTCCCCACCGGCAAGGAAGACTCCTCTCCCGACAGAGCGCGAGCGCAGCCCCAGCCTTGAGGCGTGAGTTACCTGCTCGTGGGTCGCGGTGTGGGCCTGATCCACGGCCCGTTGCAGCTGTCCCACTGGGCAGACTGCGATGAGATGGCCGGTGTTCACTGTATCTGCCCATCATCTTCTCCAGACTTCTCCCACAGCCTTGGGGAGGGCGGGGGGTCTCCCAGTTTACACCAGCAAAAAATGACTGGAATCCAGCCCGACGAGATCAGCTTCTCTTTCCTCCAGCTTCGTCAGACAGACCCATAAAGCCGTGAGGAGAAGGACTTGCCTCACAGCAGGCAGCAATCCCTGCTCCTCCTTATCTATTCTAATGGGCTTTTCTGCAGGGCTCAGCACTTCCCCGGGCTTATCCTCCCCATTGATTTCAGAAGCGCAGAGGGCTCAGCAAAGCCAGTGAGTTCACCTGTAGAGACAGCGAGTTTCCCAGAGTGGGAGTAGGTCTGCCAAACATTCCCGGGAAAAGCTCGCACACACGGAAGCTGCCAAATAACCAGCGATAGCAGGGACTCGATTTGCAGGGCAGGTTCATGCACCGTACCAACCTTCTTAGCACGGCTGTAAAAATCTCCCATTGAGTGAGATCAGGGGAGGGTGGGCTGTTCCTCTGTCCTGGAGGTCTTCAGGCCCACCAAGGCACGAAGAAAGCCCAGTGGGTGTCAGTTAAGATGCTTCTGGCTGTAAGGCATAGTTTGACAAGTGACTTCTCAGCAGCAGTGCTGACATGAGCAGTCACTGCATCCCCCCACTCACTCAGGCCCTTGCCTGGAGCTGCTGTGGCCCAGGGACAAGAGAACGCTGTTGGATGGTGGGATGGTGATGGCTTCTTGCGGTGTGCACAGCGCAGAGACCCGCTGCCGGCTGCCTGACCCCTGCGGCCACAGGGATCCTCCTTCCCAGCACAGCACCCAAAGGCAAGAGCGATGCACAGGCCAAAAGCTGCAGCAGGCAACAGGGCACAGAAAGAGCAGAAGAGACCACGCACATCACCTGCAGGAGCTGGGAAATCACATGAAAATTCTCTCATGAACGTCATTTTTTTTTTTTTTCCTGCTTCTTTTAGTTATTTAACACCAAGCAAATCAGACTCCGCCAAGGTTGCTCCATCCTACGAAAACCTAAAACTGACTGCCCGGAGAGAGCAGCTCTGCCTCCTCCACAAGCACCTTTCCCTGCACCAGCTGGGGCTGGCGAGCAACTGTGCCTTGGCCGACCAGGACGGCGGCAGCTTCTCCCGCCATTTGCTTCGGGCACTTCCCCCAGCCATTTGCTCAGGGCCAAAGATGCCGATGACAGGACGCGGTCGCGTGATGGCTGGGAAGATCGCGCAGCCTTGCTGAAGCTCCCTGCCGCCATGGTGTACGTGAGGGATCAGCACCTGGAGGAGAAGCTGCACCTCCTCAAGCACAGGGAGCAGCTGCAGCATTTCCTCATGCAGCAGTGCCAGCCAGGCCAGCGGGCAGATGGAGACCCAAAGCTCGCACCCGAGGAGCGGCCCCTCTCCCCATGGCTGAGCACCACTCCGGGATGCAAGGAGGAAAGGTCCTTCCTGGAGGATGCTGCAGATGGGAAGGAAGAGAAGGAGCTTTGGCTGAGCCGGGACATCTCCGAGCTCCGAGAAAAGGCGAAGGTGGCAAGGGACGATGGTGCAGATGCGCCGCTGGATCTGTCAGACTCTGGACGTGGCAGGGAAACAGGCTG